AACCAAGTAAGAAAAGAGGTTGGGCAAATTTTGGGGTGCAACAGATGTAAGACCGATAGAAAAAGCACGAGTGGTACGTGTCACATTCTCGGGAATGCACTAGTACCATGGGCCTACAAGAAGCAAGCGTGTGTGGCACTCAGTACAGCCGAAGCGGAATATATTGCAGCAGGAAGTTGTTGTGCACAAATTCTGTGGCTCAAGCAATAACTCCTCGATTACGGTGTAGACCTCGGTTGCATTCCTCTTCGATGTGATAATACAAGTTCCATCAATATTACAAAGAACCCGGTCATGCATTCAAGGACAAAGCATATAGATATCCGACATCACTTCCTTCGAGCTTACGTAATTAATGGAGATGTAGATGTTACTTTCGTCGATACACACAATCAACTCGCCGACACCTTCACCAAACCATTGGCGAAAGAACCGTTCTTCAAAATTTAACGAGAACTTGGAATTCTCTATGAAGGTGATATCTGATATTTTCTCTGGTTTATGTATGCATAATATATGTCTTTCATCTGTGTACATTCTGTTTTAAGCATTTTTCCAAAATTCGCGTGTGTTAATCGATTAGCCTATAGGGTTAACCGATTAACACTGTTGATTTTTCAATTCTGACTTAACTTTTTAATGTGTTAACCGATTAACCTACATGGTTAACCGATTAATACTGATACTTTTTATTTTTAAAAATTAAATTTTTAATGTGTTAACCGATTAACACTGTTAAAATGGTCAAAAATCAGAAACAAAAAAAGTAATTCAAATTTTGGAAAATTAAGTGTGGTAAATGTATTCTTTATGTGTGGTCAATATTTTCTTAAATATCCAAATCACTATCCAAAGAACTCTTCTTCTTCTTCTTTGACTACAATTTTGGACTTCCAACCCACTTTAAAACCCACTCAAATAACTCTCCATATATATTGCCTCCTCTTTACCCTCTCCTCCATCTTTCAAAACCCTAACTCTTTCAAGAACTCAGAACCCTCAGCATCTCTCAACTCCATCCATGGCTTCATCTCACAAAGGCAAGGGAAAGATACTAGAAAATGATTCTGCTTCTGAGGAAGATAGCATTCCTATGGAAACTACCAAGAAACGCCGTATGGATTTCAAGGTTCGTGTCCGTCATATTCTATCGGTAAAGTATGTAAACCTTAAGGCTTTTCCTGCTTCATCTTTTGATTTTCCTGCTCTGCTTAAATTTCAAAAGATAGATAAGTTTTTTTCCTGATTCTAGGAATTGCTACCATGATTTGGTCAAAGCGTTTTTGAATAAGTTATCTGTGTACTTGAATGCCGACGATGAGCATATTATGGAAACCTCTGTTCGAGATTGCCTCTTGAAAGAGAATCTGTCAGATATTGCTGTGAAGTTGAAAATACCATCCTCTGGCTACTTTCTCCGGAAAGGGGTTAACCACATGGAAGGACCGTGGTCTAACTATGACAAGATGGAATACTACTACCAAATCTGCAGGTTTCCGAAGGAGACGGTTGTAGCAAACCAACGAACTGATCGCATGTTATGTTATGCGAAGAATCTGACGGTTTCTGACCAGATGCTACATTATGTGATTTGCTACATTCTAATTCCAAAGGATTCAAATCATGCTCAGATCAACGATTTGGAAATGCAACTCTTATTCGCAATCAAGAATAAGATTAGGGTGAACTGGATTCTCACAATCATGTACCATCTTCAACAACAGCTTTCTCTATCGACACGTTTTCCATATGCAAGGCTGGTTTCTAGAATTCTTGAGTTGACAGAATTGGACTTTAACCGGGAACCATCTACCAAGATGAAACCGACAACCAATAAGATAAATGAAATCACCATTGTAAAGATCACTGGAATTATTAAAGACATTGACGGCACATATAAGTATGCGGGCGAAGGATCAGCTTCCAACCAAGCCTATCCCGTTCCTGAAGGAGGTATCACAAACGAGTTTCTCTACACCACTATGATGACCCAACATCGAGAAACTATGAATTGTCACCGAAAAACCTCCCGGGCCATTGCTTCACTTCGCAACCTTATCCTTTCCTCCCAACCTTCCAACCCCGGCATTGTTGAAGAAGAGGATGCAGATGATGAAGATAGTAAAGAAGAAGAAGCAGAAGACGAGGATATGTCCGATGAAGATGTTTAGAAAATATTTGTTTCTGTTTTTTTTATTGCTTTTCTTTCCGGATATTGTTTAAGCTATTAAGTTGTTAATTTCTTTTGTAACCGTACAATGTTTGCTGCATTTTTCTATGTGCTGCATTTTTTTATCTATTATGCCGTGCTTGATTATATGCTGTCATGTATGCTGATATTGCTTTGTTTTGGTTTGAAAGCTCCTTCCTTTTTGCTAATGACAAAGGGGGAGAAGAGCTTGGCTGTCTAATTTCTCTTTGTGCAGAACTTTTTGCCTCTGTTTAGAAAGGGGGAGTTGCTGGACATAAGGGGAGAAGCAAGCCAAGGATGGAACCAAACATCGTCAAAGATATCGCACAGACTCAGTTGATTGTCATCATCAAAAAGGGGGAGAATGTAGAAGCACTTCAATGTCAAGGTTTTGATGATGTCAACAAGACTTAAGCTCATTCCATGTTTGCAAAAAGTCAAGCTTTCAAAACTGATCAAGATCAAGACTATGGAATGTTGTCATGTAAATCAAGCATCATAGGCAAATGATCATACAACTTTCAAGATTTGGACTCAAGGCTTTGGTATATCAATATTCACTCCTTTAATCGATATACAAGTGTTCAAATAATTTATCATATCAACATTTTGCATATGCATGATTTTAAAATCATTTGGATCTGGTATAACACTTTTAACTCAAGTATTTTTCTGAGTTTTAACAGTGTTAACCGATTAACCATATGGTTAATCGGTTAACGGTCTCAATTTTTAAATTCTCAAGGGCTAACGTTACAGTGTTAACCGATTAACCTATATGGTTAACCGATTAACACTGAACGAATTTTGAAAAATTGTTTCTTTTCAAATTCAAGTCTTGTTTGATTGTTATACCTTTTCATTATTTGATTCATACAAATTTGTACCTTTTTGAAATGGTGTTTTGACTCATATAAATTCTGAATATTTCAAATGAAAAACACCTCCAATAATTTTCAAAATAATCATTCAATCAAATTCACTATTTTTCAAATATTTTCAAATATTTCAAAAGTGTTCATCTGTTCATACCATTTCATATCCAGAATTTTTGAACACTTGTATTGATATTGAAAAATGATTTTTGATCAAAAGGAGAAGATCAATCTTTGTATTGATATTATTATTGTATCACTCTCAAATTACAAAATTACAAAAATTATTTCTATTGTGACTTGTGATCCAGGATTGTTGGATACAAGGGATAGTGCTTGCAAGAGGATTGTTCTTGCACACTAAGTTGTTGAATAGTTGTTAGATAGTAGGCCTCCTCGGTTGATGGTGTTATATGTTGTACATTCTAAAACTATAGTGAAAACTCTCTTTCATGTGGAAAGGGGAGTGGAGTACCTTCAGATTGTGAAGGGAACCACTATAAATCTCTGTGTCCATTTTCTTTCTACTTTTACTGCTTTCAACATCAAGATCATAACCAAGTAAAATTCAAGAATCTCGAAAAATCAGAAAAAGTTTCTAAAGCCTAATTCACCCCCCTCTTGGGCATACTCTGAACTTACAGATAAAACACTACCGCAAATACCATCTAATAGCAGCGTACCCTATGTATGTCACGTCTTGTCGTTAATTGTTTTTTAATTGCTTAGACAGTGTCACTTGGATCATATTTTAAGAAATTTTATTTTAAAATAATCATATTTTCAGAAATAAATACCAAAATAACCACCTTTTTAAATAATTTATCAAATTAATACTGTTTCTAATAAAAATATTTGGACAACAAGAGGAGTAGTCAGAAAACATGAAGCATGCATGATGATGCATGTTTATAGTGACAATCAAAAGGCATAGGTAATAGTCTATTTACCTTAGGTATAGAATAAAATACTTATATCTACGATTTTTTACCGTATGTACAATGAATTATATGTCAAAGTATAGGCATTTAATTACCTACGGTAAAATATCGTAGGTATAAGTATTTAAGGCTATAGCTACAATAAATAGATTTTTCCCTGCGACTTTTGATTGTCACTATAAAAATGTGTAAAGATGCCTATGTAAAACAAATGCATCAATAAGCCATATCCGTTGGCTACTCCTTTTCTATGCAACTACTATTTGTTTGAAATATAGTTAGTTTAATAAAATATGTAAAAAGATGATTATTTTAATTTTTTTTAAACATAATTATTTTTAAAAAAAAATCACATTTTGATCACACATATGAGATTAAGGCTGAAAAGTTGGATATAAAATCAACGGTATAGATTAGCTATTTTTAATTGAGAGAAAAGGACATTTTTATAATTTTAAATTATTACGGTTTTTAAAATACTGAGATGGAGCTTTTGATTATTATTATCTAAAAATGTTGATTTAGAATAATTGAGGATTATAGTTTAGTTAAATTAAACTATAGTATTATATATTATTTTAAATATTAGAATCCAAACTAATTCATGAGACATGAATAAAGAAAAAATTGTGGAGGTAAATATTATTGATTGAATTGCATTAATAAAAATCAATTGTATTCATTGTATTTATTATTTTGAGAATTTATTTTTAAGGTTGCCCAAAAGGGGTGATAGACAGAGACAAAACATTTATTTAGGTTGGAGTGAGCCGTAACATCAAAGAAACTTTTATTTAGCACACATGTAATACATCATAGAAAATACATCAATGTAAAACAAATAACACACATGTAATAATACATCATAGTAAACACAACGCACCTGGACTTAATACATCATAGCAAATAAATCAAGAAAAATAATAACACACTTGTAATAATAAAACATAGCAAACACAATACACCTAAACATTTAAGAAAAAAAGAGGTCTTCTACTTGGAAATCCAAACAACATGATCCTGAGGTAGGAGGTGGCAAACCGGAACAGTTCCAGGTTTAACTTTGAGGACTTGAAATGCCAAATGATCCGGGTTCCATTCTGATGTATCAGTGTGACACACAGCAATAGCTTTAACTCTGCTTCCATCAGCACCCTCCAAAGGAACTGAGTAACCCTTAGTTGTATTTGTTTCGTGGCAATAAAACACTACATAAGGGTAACTCAGTTTGTGGCACACAGCGACTTTGTTCTTATCCCCCAACTTCTTCACTCCTTCTGCTATGGTATAATGTTGAAACACATTTTCTTTGTTAATTTCTGTTGAAAAAGCCTCAACATTTTTCCCAAGTTTAGAAGTAATGAAATCAATCATGGACTCCAATGATGTTACGCAAAGTTTTTCCTCTCCTCTGACGCCTTCCATTTCACAGTCACTAATTGTGTTCTTCACAATACGAGCACCCCTTGACCCTTTCTCGATGTTCAGTTTATTGAGAATGTATTCCATCTTGGTAGATGAAAAAGGTATCGAATTAGCAATTTCTCTAGGCAAAAAATTTTCTTCATTATTTGAAGTGGTCCTGACGAATTTCACGAACAACTTTTTTCCATGGAATAAGTCCTTTTCAAAGAAGAATATTGTTGCATTTGGTTTAGCATGCAATTGAGTCTCAATTCCAGCATAACTATGGTAGAGTAGGGGATTCAATGATTCTTCGGATTTTGCATCATTCTCCTTTGCAGCATAACGGTGGTAAAGCAGGCGATTAGGTGATTCTTCAGAATTTACATCATTCTCCTTTACAGCATAACGGTGGTAAAGCAGATTAGGCGATTCTTCCGATTTTACATCAATCTCCTTTGCAGCATAACGGTGGTAAAGCAGGGGATTCAATGATTCTTCGGAATTTACATCATTCTTCTTTGCAGCATAACGGTGGTAAAGCAGGGGATTAGGTAATTCTTCAGATTTTACATCAGTCTCCTTTGCAGAATAACGGTGGTAAAGCAGGGGATTTGGTGATTCTTCGGAATTTACATCATTCTCCTTTTCAGCATAACGGTGGTAAAGCAGATTAGGCGATTCTTCCGATTTTACATCAGTCTCCTTTGCAGCATAACGGTGGTAAAGCAGGGGATTAGGTGATTCTTCGGATTTTACATTAGTTTCCTTTGCAGCATAACGGTGGTAAAGCAGGGGATTAGGTGATTCTTCATATTTTACATCAGTCTCCTTTGCAGCATAACGGTGGTCAAACAGGGGATTAGGTGATTCTTCGGATTTTACACCAGTCTCCTTTGTAGCATAGCGGTGGTAAAACAGGGGATTAGGTGATTCTTCGGAATTATCATCAGTCTCCTTTGCAGAATAACGATGGTAAAACAAGGGATTAAGTGATTCTTCGTGTTTTACACCAGTCTCCCTTGCAGCATAACGGTGGTAAAATAAAGGATTAGGTGATTCTTCGGATTTTACATCAGTCTCCTTTGCAGCATAACGGTGGTAAAACAAGGGATTAGGTGATTCTTCTGATTTTACATCAGCCTCCTTTGCAGCATAACGGTGATAAATAAAGGGATTAGGTGATTCTTCAGATTTTACATCAGTGTCCTTTGCAACATAACGGTGGTAAAACAAGGGATTAGGTGATTCTTCGGATTTTACATCAGCCTCCTTTGCAGCATAACGGTGATAAAATAAGGGATTTGGTGATTCTTCAGATTTTACATTAGTGTCCTTTGCAGCATAACGGTGGTAAAATAGAGGATTAGGTGATTCTTCGGATTTTGCATCAGTCTCCTTTGCAGCATAACGGTGGTAAAGCAGGGGCATAGTTAATTCTTCAGATTTTTTATCATTCTCCTTTGCAGCATAATGGTGGTAAAACAGGGGATTAGGTGATTCTTCGGATTTTACATCATTCTCCTTTGCAGCATAACGGTGGTAAAACAGGGGATTAGGTGATTCTTCGGATTTTACATCAGCTGCACCTCCATCGTCGTAGCCTTTTTTGCTTGCATCATCTACACCTATTTAAAGTAGGAGATAAATTTTAAAATTGAATAATTTTAAACATGTGAAAGTAAATTTACATATATATATACATTAATATTTAGAAAGGGTTTAAAGATATTAATATATAAGCATAAATCTTATAGTATGAGACTGACCAGGGAGTAGGAGATTAGTGATGATTTTTGGTATTGGAGAGTTGGTAAGAAGATTAGTGATGGCTTTTGGCATTGGAGTGTTAGGAAGAATGGACTTCCAGTAAAGTTGAGGTGGTAATGTTTCAGCATTAGTTGCCAGTATCACAACCTGCATTTGAGAATATATTAACATTACTAATCATATTTTTATAAGTCAAATAAAAGACATAAAGTATAATAATAACAATTTAAATAAATGAAAGTGGTTGAGTTTATGGAGTTGTAAGCAACCCACCATGGAAAAAGTAATAATGTGAAAGAAATGAAACTTCATATTGAACCAATGAAGCTAAAATTCTAAATAAGAAAGGATGAAGAGAAGAAGTTAGATGGAATGAAAAACAAAGACACATGCACCTTTTATATAATATAGTGAGAGAGAATGATATTAGTTTTGAGTGTGAATTGGATTGGAAATAAATGGATGAAAGCAACCTTATCTGATAACATTTTTGAGCGGATGGAAAACCATCCATAAAATTTGTTTTAATTTTGTTTACAATAATTTATTTTATTTAAAAAAAATTGTTGAAAAATTCTTTAAAATATTTGAACTTGTCACACTTGTTGATGTGCTTCAACTAGCTTATCTATTTTCTCATTCCTAATGTTACTATTGCTTTTTGTCCAACGTAAGGAGAAAGTCACGGAATTGACTCAAGAAGATATACTTATCTTTATTTACTTTATCATTTTATATTTATAGTTTTTGGATTGTTGTTATTTCTTGTTCCCGTTTAAGATATAAAAGATATTTATTTTTCTCACACATACAATAATTGACATATAAATTAGTTAATTGACTGAGAGACTTTTTTCTTCTTGTAGGAGACTGTTATAGGTTGTGTTAATGTTCGACAATTGCTGTAGGCATTGTAGTATGATTGATTAGCTTCTCCTTTTTGCTTTTGCCTTAGGTTGTTGGAGTGCCTAACTTTAATTTGGTTGAGCCCTTTTTGTTGGAGATTTTTTTGGATTGTTAAGTATATTTCATAATATTGAGAATATTATGAGTTGTTGATTATACTATTAAGATAATTATGAATAGAGATAAATGTTTGTTGAGCATAATTGAGGATTATAGTTTAGCTGAATTAAACTATAGTATTAAATTAGGATTTAGAACACTAAAATTCTAAATAATTCATAAGACATAAATAAATAGAAAGTCGCAGAGATATACACTATTGACTGAACCACGCTAACAAAGATAAGTTGTGTTAATTGTCTTTTATTTTTGTTTATTTTTAATCTATTATATTGATTATTGTTTTAACTATTGATATTAGACGACGATTAGAAATTCAAAGTAACAAGGTTTAACAAGACAAATAATTTCAAATAATTACAAATGATAATTGAGGATTTGTTGGCTTAGCAAAATTTATAGAAGGCGCTGCGTTAGAAAGCAGGCTAAATGAAAGATACTGATTAGTCAAACATGAATAAAAATGTAATTGAGAAGAAGTATAAGTTTAATATCAATAAAAACTAATATAATTTAATTAAAAAAAAGGGGAACACGATGACAACACGTAGGGGAAATTGGAAATAAAATTAAGAGTGTAGATTATTTCTTAAGAGAAATACTTGGATGGAACCGCACAAAAATTTATATTCTTAGAAATATAAACTATGAAAAGAGGAAATTTTAAATTTATTTAAAATTTAATTTCTTTTTAAATAAAAATATGGAGGTGATAATGAGGAGATAGAAAAATTTATTTTTATTTTTTAATTAATAAAAAAGTTGTAATTGATTGATTATAAAACTACGGGTTATATTTGTATTTATTTAAGTATTTTCTGACTCTTAAAATATAGAGGCGTATATACTCTTGTTTTCTATTCTAATAATTTATGTAGAGGAGAAAATAATTTATTGGCCTTGGCCTACCATTGGAATGTAGATGAGATATAAATGTGATTCATCTTGACAGCTTAACAGATAGCTATATTAGACAGATACTCTTTCTGTTTTTATAATAAGTGTTTGATTTAAGTTATGCGCAGTTTTTAACAAAATAATTAAATATATTAATTTTAATGATAAAATTAATATTATTTACTAAAGTATTTATTAATTATAGTTACTAGAGTAGTTGAATAGAATAAAAGTTAATAAATAAGGGTATAATAATGAAATAATAATATTGAAGTGAAGTTTTTTTTAGCTGAAAAAGTAAATTAATTAGTTAAAAAATAAAAAATAAAATAAAATTTTGAGTGAATGGGTTATGTATTTATTAATTTTGCTAAAATTTCACTTGAGATCAATATATTATTTTTGTTTAATAAATTTATTAGGTTGAAATTCTGGGTGTAGTGATGTATTATCTAATAATAACATTTAGAAGTCATTTATAACAAGTCATTGTCTATATTTAGCATGTAGTTGAGATCATGTATCAATACTAAAACAATGACATGCAAATTAATAACAAATTGTAAATATTTCTTCTATACTAAAATTAAAATTTTACATCCAACAATTGATACCAAATCATTGCAAGACAAAGGTAAATGCAACGTATGCCTCAATTATGTAGAGTGAATGCATATAGAACACATTGGTAAATGCATTCACTATGATTTATGCTGTATAAACAGGGTTCTCATTGGAGTAGGTTGAAGATGTTAATTCTAGATGGACCACCCAAATTGATTGCCTGTTTTCGTTGGAGTAGCTTGAAGATATTAATTCTAGATGGACCAACCAAATTGTGTTACAGTTTTTAAAATTTACTAACGTCTTATTAGCTAGCAAGCAACTAGAACAATCTAAATTAGTTAAAGAAAATTAGGTAAAAAACTAAATACAAATTTTAAATACTGCCAAATAAAGGAAAATAATTATTTTTCAGTAGTACTAATTATTAATCTCTTTAGAGTATGTTTGGATGAAAAAAATTTGTAAAGGAAAATAATTTTTTGAGAGAATTTAAAATAATTTTTAATCAAAATTTATTATTTAAATAAAAAAATATGGAGAATTATTAAAATAATACAAATTTATAAAGTATTTTATTCAAGTTAAATTGAAGGAATTTCAAATAATAATAAAAAGTAAAGAATTCAAATTATTTTTTTATTCTATGTAATGTGAATGTTAAATTTTTTATTATTAATTTTTCAAAATTTGTAAGATGATCCTCGTATTTTATGAAAACTTTAAATTCACATCCAAAATTTTATAAAAAATTGTAAATAAATTTTTATTAATTTTTAAATTTTACAAATTAATCTCTTTAAATTTATAAAAATTGTAAATTAATCTCTATTTTATTATTAAATTTG